CTTCAGCATTTCCGCTTTCACCTTCAATTGCACCGAGTTTCTCTTCTAGAGTCTCTTGCACGCTTTGTCTTTGAGCATATAACTTCTCCAAATCCCATCTGGGTCTGCGCTTTCGAAATCCTATAATTTTCTTCAACCTGGTTCGGAACTTGGCAACCAGCAAGTTGTGGTCAGAGTCAATGTCTGCCCCAGGAAGCGTCTTCACATCCTTCACACTGTTTCTGAATCGATGTTTCACAAGGATGTAGTCCAGCTGATGCCTCTTCCAATCCCCAGGTGCCTTCCATGTGTAAATTCTTCTCTTTGGCTTCTTGAACCAAGTGTTGGTAACAATCAAATGATGGGATAGGACCCCAAATTAGGAAACAAACACAAAACTACATAAAGAAAGCAGTCTTCTGGGATTTGGCACCGTGTATATGTGGTGTTAACCGACGTTTCGGAGGAACGTATCGCCCCCATCTTCAGGGTTGAAGAAAAAGTATAAGTAAATCTGCAAGCGACAACACCGTGAGACACGGTAAAGCAGACTGCTTTCTTCATAGTCACCGCCGTGAAAGCCTCAAATCTTACACAAAACTACATAGACTGAGTTACAGACAGTTTCACCAAAAAACATAAACAAACAAATAAAACTAAAAAAAAAATTGTAACTAAGCTTTCAAGTCTGGAGCCTAAGCAGGACCTCTCTTCTCCTTCAACTCCAGCAATACTCTAATCAAATTTTTCAAGGGTGCATCAAATTGAGTTTGCAGCATAGATCATCATCAGCATACCTTCAGCCTTGGTCAGTACATGACGGTATTCCAGGCAGAGGTGTATGCCTTTAAGGCATGCACAGCTGAGAATTTAGATAGGAACTATAGAAAAAGGATCGTCTATATTCTATCAGAGTGTCAAGCTGCAATTAAAGCACTAGGTACACACCAAATCACTTCAAAATTGGTCTGGGACTGCCACCAATCCCTCATACAACTGGCCAGACATAACAGAGTATAACTGATATGGGTGCCAGGTCATGAGAGTATTGCTGGGAATGAAATTGCAGACCAACTGGCAAGAACAGGATCTGAACAGCCGTTCATAGGACCTGAACCAGCTTGTGGCACCTCAGTAGGAGAGTATTGCTGGGAATGAAACCACCAGCTGGCAAGAACAGGATCTGAACAGCCGTTCATAGGACCTGAACCAGCTTGTGGCATCTCAGTAGGAGAGTACTGCTGGGAATTAAACCACAGATCAACTGGCAAGAACAGGATCTGAACAGCCATTCATAGGACCTGAACCAGCCTGTGGCATCTCAGTAGGAGAGTACTGCTGGGAATTAAACCACAGATCAACTGGCAAGAACAGGATCTGAACAGCCATTCATAGGACCTGAACCACCCTGCGGCATCTCAGTAGGAGAGAATTGCAGGGAATGAAACGGCAGATCAGCTGGCAAGAACAGGATCTGAACAGCCGTTCATAGGACCCGAACCAGCTTGTGGCATCTCAGTAGGAGAGTACTGCTGGGAATGAAACCACAGATCAACTGGCAAGAAGAGGATCTGAACAGCCATTCACAGGACTTGAACCAGCCTGCGGCATCTCAGTAGGAGAGTACTGCAGGGAATGAAATGGCAGATCAGCTGGCAAGAACAGGATCTGAACAGCCGTTCACAGGACCCGAACCAGCTTGGGGCATCTCAGTAGGAGAGTATTGCAGGGAATGAAACGACAGATCAGGTGGCAAGAACAGGATCTGAGCAGCCGCTCACAGGACCCAAACCAGCTTGGGGCATCTCAGTAGGAGAGTACTGCTGGGAATGAAACCACAGATCAACTGGCAAGAACAGGATCTGAACAGCTGTTCACAGGACCCAAACCATCTTGGGGCATCTCAGTAGGAGAGTATTGCTGGGAATGAAACCACAGATCAACTGGCAAGAACAGGATCTGAACAGCTGTTCACAGGACCCAAACCATCTTGGGGCATCTCAGTAGGAGAGTATTGCTGGGAATGAAACCACAGATCAACTGGCAAGAACAGGATCTGAACAGCCATTCAATAGACCTGACCCAGCTTGCGGCATCTCAATTGGAGTTGCCAAGAAAGCGATCAGGGACTGAACTAACAGAAATCACAAAAAACACTCGGAATCCACAACTGGACTCAAACAGGCACAAGGATTTATATCAGGACCCTCTGCCAAAAGAATGAGGGACCTGTTAAAATTAAACAGAGATCAACTCAGATGGGTGGTAAGATTACTTACTGGAGACTGCCACCTAAAAGGGCACCTTTCCAAATTGGGACTGACAGACGACCCAACTTGTGAGAGGTGCCTACATGAAGACGAATCAGCCACACACATCTTATGTGATTGTGAGGCTATAGCTTACTTAAGATATCGCCACCTGGGTCAGTTCTTCATGGGACCAAGTCACTTTTATGATGCCCCCATAAATGAAGTCCTACATTCGATTCGAAGTGTAGGATTAATAAAGGGTTAATCCAAAGGGGAAGCACAATAGACCATTGAAGGGCGCAGTGCTAGGGCCAGTTTTATGGCTCACCCCTCATACTCACATTCATACTAGATTCTACTTTCAACATATGATGGAAGACAAAATTGTCATGCCAGAGATGTCAAACATACAGGACTTCTCTTCCATAAGTTTGCCCATTCAAGGTATGACATGCCCTCACAGATGTTTTAGACAGGCAATACGAAACATTTATCTTACCTTAGTGGGGATCGGAGTCTGGGTATTTACTTTCACACTAGTCGCAGCACCATTCTGTGATTTCTGCACAGATGTGTCTTCATCCTCATTCTTCAGCAACTCATCATCGCTGCTAATGTTTATTAATTCTTTTTCACCTTCATCACTTCTAGACCGCTTTCTGAAAGCATATAATGAAAATAAAGAAATATAATTTACCACAGATTGCAGTGGCATGGGATCATGTCCAGGAAGTTCCAGTTTCAAATCTCAGCCTGGAGTTAAGATTTCAGTGATTTTCCTCAGTCCCTCCAGGAACATTCTTGGATAGTACCTCAATCTGGCCATGGCCACTTCATTCAACTTCTTTCCAGTTTACTATTCATTAATCCGATATATGATATAAACTCCGTCCTAAGTGCAACAACATATTGTAGGTCTTTCATCTTGCTTTCTTCTACACTACATGTTTCGGCCACAAACGGCCATCATCAGGTGTATACACTCACGTAGCTGTTACACTGCACCCAGTTTAAAATTAACATATACATGATGTTAGAAATAACAATAGCAATTCCGGGTACTCAAATCACATACTAAATACGGGACATGCATACAGAACAATAACAGATGTAATGGAAGTTGTAACAATGGGAAAGAAGGGTAGACATTTGAATACATTAGAGAAATACCATATATACAGTAGAACTTGGTTATAACGTCATCAAAGGGACCTAAAAAGAGTGTTGTTATAAACGAATGCCGTTGTAACCGAAATGGGCACTTCCACAGTAGCCTTATGTTAGTCACGTAAAAATCTACCAAAACCGAGTTAAAATGTTGCATTTTTTAGTGAAATACGTAGTTAAGTACAGACTAACGTAACATTAACGTGGAATTGCCCAAATGTGTAATATCAAAGACATATTACAGCGCTTTTCACTGACAATACACACCGCACTAATACTGTATATTAAAGGTAGGCCTACTCACCAAATTACAGTAGATTACATCAATTGTTGTGCCTTACTGTACCTAGATACGAGTACAGTAATCAGTTATCTTCATCTGTTTCCTGTTACTTGCCCAATACACACTTTCTAAATTACGTTCAATGTCCATATCAGAGAAATTCAGGAATGAAAATGACGTTACATACGAGGTTGATGCATTTGTGCATGTCGTACTAAGCAAGGTATAAAAACAGTTGCTTTATGAGGAATTAGTTCGTACCATTGAATATTTGACGCAATAGACAAGGTGTCGCAGAAACCGATGTTGCTATAACCAAGTTTTACTGTATATATATATAAAAAATAAGTAAGAAGGGCCTACACATGAATGACACACACATAGAAACACACAATCCCATATTTCAAACGACACACGAAATCTATACAGACTAACGGTACCTCTCTCCCCCCACTACCTATTCCCCCCCTACACTCACCAACATAAAACACAGCACACAATACATCAGACAGCACACGTAGTAAAGATAAGCAGTGGCCGCACACAGGAAGACTACACAGAACAATATAAACACATAAGAAAACATAACATACATAAGATAGTAATACGAATATTTGTATATTACAGATAACACCTGTACAGTGCTGAAAACAAGAAGTAGCCGCTGCAGCACTGTAGACGTGGGGCGAGTAACCCTGAGAATTTTAAATTTTAAATTGGAAAAAAATAATTTTAAAAGAATTTTTAAAGTTGGAACTGAAGATTTTAAAAGTGCCAGTTCATGAAGGTCAAAATTGACATGTGTGGGTGGCAAAGATGAGGTATGAATCAGACAAATATCAGCAAAGTAGATCCTGTTAACAGCGATGAAGGGAACAATTGGGAAGACCTGTATGTTTTTAATTTTAAACTGGGAGCAGTGTAACAGCTATGTGAGTGTATACACCTGATGATGGCCGTTTGCGGCCGAAACATGTAGTGTAGAAGAAAGCAAGATGAAAGAGCTACAACATATTGTTGCACTTAGAATGAAGTTTATATCATATATCGTATAGAGTGCAACAGGATGCTTAAATATAATATTCATTAATCCATTCGACACCACACACTCTGGGCTACAGGCAACATCATTAAATTAATAATAATAAACAAATAAATAAAAATTAATAAAATCATTTTACTGCTGTATGCTTACTCATATTTATTTGGCAGTTTTCAGTAACAGTAACTTGTTAGCCTGAGAAATATGTTTTAATTTATATCATCTAGCATTTAACATGAAAAATGCTACTGCGATTTTCTTTCCACTTTTGTCCACGGCTGCCATGAAATTTTATACATCCTGTGACTGGCCACACTACTGTAAATTGTCAGAGATGCTAACAACTGCTGCAGCACTCACAAACAACAGCAGACACAATGCCTTACATGGCGCAACCAGCGGACGACAAGCACAACCATAAAAACACATCCAAACATTATGGAGTGATCATCAATGACTGCCACGGCATTGGACATGAGAAGAAACTGCCATTCTGTGTTCTGTGAGGACATCTTGCATTCCCTAGGTTCTTATATCCTCTTTCAGTATCAGTGAGACAAAATGGCAAATCAGTGTAGGTTATCAGAATCTGATTCTGTACCGAAGCAACCATTCAATGAACTCTCCTGGCATTTTCTGCCCATAATTTGAGGGCCTCTACTGTGGGGGTGCACTATGTACAGTTGGTGTACATTCTGATATTAAATCTCTTTGTTTTGACACTTCTAATATAAAATAATTACAGTCAAAAGGTAATATTACCTCTTATTTTGCTGCACTGGTTGTTTCATGTACACTGCCAACATCTGATCATTTGCTGTGTTACTCTCCTGCAAAAGAAATTCAGTAGTAGTAAATCAACGGTACTTTCAATGCATTTAACTAAGTACTCCCACATTTTTGGACTCACACATAAGTAAATTAAGGGATACAGTGTGTCTGTCTTTGTGTTTGCATACATGAATGATTTTTTGATGATTTCTTTTTTTACTACTCACTACTTCATTCCATCTGAAACCTAATTTCTTTAAAATACTTCTTATACTATTTCCTGATCCTGCAAAACTGATTTTCTCTTAAAGTCTCTGTCTTAAAATGATGGAAGCCTGTAAAATGTGGCCACATTAAAGCCATCAAGATCTGCTTCTTTTCCATTTTTGACGCATTCCAAAAGAGTATCTCCTACCTTCTTTAACCTTTCAATGCCAGTGGGCATTTAAATTCCTACTCAACTCCTGTGCTGGAGGATATTTAAATATTTAAATCAGAGTGTGCAACATTTCACTTAAAGTGTAATAAATTGCGAAAAACTAGAGTTCTGGTTTTCTAATTTTCACACTACGTTCAGAAATGTATAGTCACCTGGTGGGTATGTCACGCGACAAATAACTTGACGTGGGTCTCGGATTTAGCGAATCTTTATTGGACACAAACTCTTACACACCTTATAATTATTATCACTTGCAGTACCACTTGACTTCTGGCCCAGTACTCTAATGCGACATCTCAACTATCCTTGGCCATGGCTGGATCTCAACTGTCTCTGGCGGCGGCTATCCCAAGATTGTTTTGATCCCAATACTCAATATTCAATTTCCGCTCGAGGCCAGGCCCTTTATATAAGATGCACGCGGACTCAATAGAGGACACCCCTCGCCAAGGTTCGAGCTCGCATGTTCAGCAATCCATTGCTTCGGGAACGTTCCTTATAGATTACACCGGTAATGTGTCTCGTCTCATCCATTGTTACTCAATGACAATTCGTTGCTATGATTTGTCACTGCATGAACTCCACAATTTCCACATATTCGTTGTCATGGAAGTGTCCGTTCCGATTGTAGCTGTTGTCACGGTGATGGACGTAAGGTAACGCGTCACACTGCTCCCTTCTAAAGGTTGTTCTTCTCCGAACAGCTTAACGGTACTTCCTTGGTTTCGTTTCCTAAGGTGTTCATCTTCCGCGTGTTACCTCCTCCTTTCCTTCGGTGTTTTGCCTTCCTTCCACCCGCCCCGTCTTCCAGAGTGCTTGCCCCGAACACTTCCAAGGTCCAGGATTTGTTGGTCCCATTGTCTCACATTCATTCTTGCTAGGGAGGCCGTTGCTTCTGCTACGGGTTCCTCCCATTCGGGCCGTTTCCTTTCTTTCGTTTTGGAGGGGTCGACCCCTCCACAGTGTCCAGTTTTTGATGTCCGTGTTTGTTGCGATTCTGCGCAACACGTCTGCTTGTGCATTTGCACATGTCTCGAATTGCTTTCTTAATCTCCTTATTGTCTCTCTTAGTTTTTCTTGTGTCCTTTTTGACACATTCTTATGTGGACTTGTGCATGACTCTAACTGATCTCCCTGAAATCTGAGTCTCTTGTACTGTGCCACATTTGCGTAGCGGGTCATCTTCTTGTCGGCCATGACCAGTCGCTTCCTCGGGAATCTACCAGCTCCTTAAGAAAGGTCCTTCTTCACGATGTCTCTCTTGCATCGTGCCACTGTTGCGTGATGGGACATCCTTATGTCACTTCTCTTCTCCTCTTGCCGTGCCACTGTTGCACGGTGGCTCGTCCCTCTGCAGGCAATGGCCAGTCTTTTTCGGAACCCATCCTGACTCTGGGTCCGTTCATTCATCTAGGGGCGGCGGTCTGCGGCCGCTTTTCAGTCCTTGCGCCTTTTCTTCTTCGGTTCTCAAACAGGCATTACTTCGGCGTCTACTTTGGGGACCTCTCATTGCTCTGCCACCTCAGGTTCCATGTCCAGTGAGGCCAGCTTTTTCTCATCTTGACATGCCTCCATCTCTTGGCAGGCCAACGTCTCACTGTGGTTGTCATTCACCCTTTTGTCTCTCATTACAGCCATCTCTTCTCGCCTTGCTTTCCAATCCGCCATCATTTGTTCATGTCTGGCGTCAGCCTTTGCCTGGCTGGCATCCGCCTTTGCTTGCATGGCTAGCAGGAATTCCATTATTTGTTGTGGCTCCATTCTTCTTTGTTTTATAATGTAATGCTTGTTGTGCTCATAAATTCAATAATTAGCCGTAAATCAAGGTGTGTTTGAGTTCACTCCTTGTCGATCACGTGTGCGAGTCCAGTCTTTTAAATTTGATCTGATTAATCCCAATTGATCCCACTTCTGACAGCAACTATCACGTATTGGGTATGTCATGCGACAAATAACTTCACGTGGGTTTCGGATTTAGCAAATCTTTATTGGACACTCACTCTTACGCACCTTACAATTATTGTCACTTGCAGTATCACTCGACTTCTGGCCCAGTACTCTAATGCGACATTTCAACTATCCTTGGCCGTGGCTGGATCTCAACTGTCTCTGGCAGCGGCTATCCCAAGATTGTTTTGATCCCAATACTCAATGCTCAGTACTCAATACTCGATATTCAATTCCTGCTCGAGGCCAGGCCCTTTATATAAGGTGTACGTAGACTCAATAGAGGACACCCCTCGCCAAAGTTTGGTGTCCTCGCCAAAGTTTGATCTCACGTGTTCGGCAATTAGTTGCTTCGGGAACGTTCCTTATAGATTACACCGGTAACGCGTCTCGTCTCATCCATTGTTACTCAACGACAATTCATTGCTACGATTTGTCGCTGCAGGAACTCCATAATTTCCATGTATTTGTTGTCGTGGAAGTCTCTGTTCCGATTGTAGCTGTTGTCACAGTGATGGACATAAGGTAACATGTCACAGTATATAGAATCGGTGTACTGATCCGCACTGCTTTAAAATTATTTTTTGGTACAGTAAGCCTATAAAAATTATGAATGATATTATCATATTACCTTAGAAGTTCAGCTGTGTGTGTTAGTCATGAAAACATTCCACACAGAGCCCCATGTCACAAGCGTCACACCAGTACACAATTTTTGACACACAACACACCATTTCTGTGGTTTTGATTTCTTCACAGTTGGTGGAATCTTGCTCATAAAATTTCTTTCTCTTAGATGTGGTACTGTTTTGTTGAACGAATGTCGACCCGGCACTTTGTGTTTTACAGCGTTATCATATTTCACAGAGAGCCCCTCAATTAACTGAATTCTGATTGACAATTGATTTATTCTTTTCCTTGTGTTATTCCTACATATTATCATCACATTCAGAAATTTTCCTTTTGTCGTTTATAGTTTTGTATATTCTCCCAATGGATGTTTGTGCTAATCTCGATTCTGTCATTTACCACAGAATCGAGAAAAGGAAAAACATCCATTTTCAGTGTCTAATTCCCAATCTGATAACACTTTGTTCTGATTCGGTTTGAAGTAAATATATTCTTCACTGGTCATGACATAACACAGCTGGCCACTTTGTTCCTTGCCACTGGCCTTGGCTAACCAGACTGCATGATGTGTATTTATAGAACAAAGGGGGATGACAGTGGTATCAGTCATATAGTGAACTGTGTATCATTTGCTACAGTAGCAGTCATAACACACTTCTCAGAGTCAACATCACGTCTCAGAGATATAGATTCTCCACAAGTCTTCTCGTAGTTACAAAAGCTGCACAGTTCAGAATATGCCTCAAGAGAATCGACTTTTCATTCGATCAGGATAGAGGAGAGTACACAGTACTGATCTAACATATTTAGTTCATAAGAATTCCCCTAGGCAGAGGTAGGTCTGCACGGTAACAAGCACACCAAACGCTGAAATAGAAAACTTTTTCGAAGAATTCAAATGTAATACAACTTCTGAAGCAAGTTCAAAGTGGGACAAATAATATACAAAATGATAGCCTCCAATTTCCTATTTAATTTCATACCAAAAGAATTACTTTACATGAAACACAATGTTTCAAATTACGAGCTGAAACTTAGAGCTGCAATACGCGTACCCTGCACGGACCCCGACGGCATGTGACAGAAACTGCTAATGTACAGTGCTCCAAGCCCAGAACTGAAGGGTTAACCACAATCTTCATTTCAATTTTTATATCTTTCACTGGGGGCACATGGTAGCATAGTTGGTTGAGGCACTATGCTACAAGTCGGAAGGTCACAGGTTCAAGTCCCGATGACATCACTGTACTTTCTTCAATTGACGTCATCCTTCCAGCCGCACTATGGCCCTGGGGTCGACTCACCCTCTAACAGAAATGAGTACCAGGAATATTCTTGGAATGTTCTTGGGGGTAAAGGGTGTGTAGGGCTGACAACCTTACTGCCATCTGTGACCCAACTGTCTAGAAAATGTGGAAACCTCAACATCCACAACTCTTTGGGCCTCCATGGCCTGTCACAGGGATACATTTACTTACTATTTTACTTCTTTATCTTTCACTGTCATTCATGACACATAGCACGGAACATCAGTTCTTTCTTCACATCTGTGAATTGTGATGAAATGTCTGTCTTCAATAGTAGTTTCATTTCCAATGGGGTCAGATTCTTTGTTCATGAATTCATGAATGTTATAAATTACTTCTCTACTCTAACCATAAAGCTGTCTTCCTTTCAATTCCAAATTACCTAAAAATGCTAACTATTGGCTATTTGGCTCCTAAACTACTGCTGTCTCTCATCTGTTTTCCAAAACATTATAAACTGTTAAATAAAACTACATACCAGTTCATCCAGGTCTCCGTCTTTATCTGATGCTGAAGAAATATCGCTCATATCGGATGTTACGCCCCAGTCACTCATGTCTGATGCCATCGTTTGATACACTATGTCAAAAGCTAGAAGCATATGGGATAATGGTAGAATTAACAATGACATTAACATATCATTAATGAATATGGATACTTATATATTAGTGCGTAACTTTTAAAAATTACCCCCATACTGTCTATGTTACTGCTGCCAACTTTAGAAATTTATTTGCAAAAGAAGACCCAAAGCCTAATGCTGTTAAAATATGTCTCTGACAAGTCCAGAAGATAAGTATTTTCATTTGTTTTTAAGGGTTACATCTTTTGGTTCTGTACAAAAAAATTTAGACTTTTGATTTTGTTTTTAAAAAGGCATTTGGTTTTCTTTTCAAACAAACTTCTATGGCTGACAGTGCTAATATAGTGGACAACATGGCAATAAAGTTTTACGTTTACTCAGGTTGCCTATTAATATGTTAGGTATGGATGTAGTAGTAGTAGTAGTAGTAGTAGTAGTAGTAGAGGGGGTGGCTTACGCCATGCACTTAGACCAGTTATTGGTCCATTGTGCGTCCCCCATTTAATTTCTACTGTCGCCATACCCTACCAGTAACGGTGCGTGCTATCAGCCCCGTTGAGCCAACGAGGTCGGCCCTCGGTACCTTGATGTTTCCCCCATCTACCAGAGGCATTGGAAACTACTTGAGCGGGAAATTATTACCTAAATTTGGCTCAGAAGTCTCCTAGAGACATGAGGTTCTTTTGCGTGCCATAAATCTACGACACAGGATACACGGCTTAAAGTCCCTCCCGGAGGACTTGTTCCCTGAATTTTTCCGCCCTTAAAAATTCCACGACCTCCGCCGGGTTTGAACCCGTGTACCTTGAGTCATGAGGTGGGAATGTTACCCCTAGACTACGGAGGATGCTTTAGGTATGGGTGTAAGTGGGTACACGGTAGTGTAGTTCATTGAGGCACTATGCTACAAGCCGGAAGGTTGTGGGTTCAAGTCCCAATGAGGTCGTTTGATTTTTTTCAATTGACCTAATCCTTCCAGCCACACTATAGCCCTGGTGTCAACTCCGCCTCTAACAGAAATGGGTACCAGGAATTAATTAAATAATTTTCCTGGGGAGCAAAGCGTGGCCGGCGCGTAAGGCTAACAATCTTACCACCATCTTTGAGCCGACTGTCTAGAAAACGTGGAAGCCTAGATATCTCAAAACCCTATGGGCCTTCACGGCCTGTTACAGGGATAGCTTTACTTTACTTTAGGGATGTAAGTTCTCAGGTTTTCATAGCCACAAGCGTTCAGATGGTAGTCCTCTGGGATGTGACACTGTGTAATATTACAGGTAGATACCAGCGTTTCGGAGGAACATGCCACCTCCATCTTCAAGATTGAAGCAGATGCAGGGAAGATGCAGTCTGTTATATACATATACTCATACTGCTAGGAAGGTGGGCACTCAGATCCATGGGAAGGGCACAGGAGCTGAAGCCTGTACAGGGCTACATGACCTGACAGCATCCACAATGAATTTACTTCAGCCCTGAATATGCAGGCACCATGAATCCTCTAAAGTATTGGTAAGGTATAAAGGTAAAGCTGTCCCTGTGCACAACTAATTAAGCACTACGCCATAAAGGCATATGGGGGAGTAGATGTATACATCCACATTTTCTTGACCTCGGCAATAGGTGGAAGTGAGAGGTCAGCTTCACGCCCCTGCCACTTTACCCCACGGGAAAGGGCACTAGGTAACCACTGGATAGGAGGTTGGGTGGACCCCAGAGCCGGTCTGGATGACATGAGAAAAGAAAATTCTTGACGTTATCGGGACTCGAACTCTGAACCCTCTGTCATCCAGCCTGTACTCATACAGTTGTCCCTGTGCTTAATCTGTTAAGGAATAGGCCATCAAGACATATGGGGAAGTGGAGGCATAGCTCCACTATTCTTGACCAAGGCACTAGATTGGGGTGAGTGGTTGGCTTCACCCCCTGGCCACTATACCTCCAGTACCCACTGATTATGTGGTATGCATGGCAGTTCTAAAAACACTGTGTTAACAAGAGATGCTTCACAATTTACATTTCTCCATCAACATATGAACTTTAACTACATTTAGTTGAGTACTACTACGAGGGTGGTCTGTTACAGTTCCTACCCTCCCTCAGCAAACAGCATATGCTGCTTCAGATACACGTGCAAGACACACTAATTTCCTATGAGGTAAGAGACACTAATACGAAAGAACAAAAACATTTATATACCATGACTGCATATCTCCTTGTGTGATACATTATTTCACCTTTTATACTTACCATTACGTACACCTTGTTTAAATGGTCCTCGTTTTCTTCTGCCATATTCCGGGTATCTTGCTCGAAGGTCGTCAACCACCTCATCAACATCAACAATACCACTGCCTGAATGTGTATGATCCTCCATATACTATTATGAGAAAACAGACTGTTAATTTAAGCCCATACGCATTCGTTCACTCTCTATTCTTTTTGTATGCATTAGTTACCATGCTGACTGCTTACCAATCTGCCAACTTATTAAATAATTGTTTTTGCCACCTGTTTTGTAATACTCTGAGGGGACAATAGAGAAAACAGCAAAGATTTTACGTTCTCAGTCAGCAATTATTACAATTTCTTAAATATGATACCGTATAGTCTGGTAGATATTTATCAACCTCTCAGAGGAAAATGCTGCCTTCATCTTCTTGGTAGAAGACCGTTCTATTAATTTTGATCTAGGACCCAGAAACGTGTCACAAGGCAGTCACCAATGAGTCTTAAACCACACAACGTTAGACAATACCAACATAAGTAACTCCTTTTTATGTGAACTGCAGAAAATCAGTACCCAATAGGGTGAACTATAGAATTAACTCCATACCATAACCGCATCTCATCTTGGACACTTGGAATTCTAGAATACTGAAATATCTGTGAAACCAATGAAATGTTTACTACCTGTTTTACACGTGGTATTATCAAGGAGTCCGACATATAGGGCATGTTGTACTGTCTCTTTGGTTGACATTGTTTCTTGTACTTGTCTTTTGATGGCCCAGGTCTATTTGGTTTGTTTTCCGTTGCAGAATTTGCCTTTGATGAGAGACCCATTACTGTCGTCCTTTTTACTGGTTCACAACCTGTGCCTCTGTGCATTTCAATGGTTCTGAATCTATTAATTTGTAAACTAGCACGAAGATATCGAAAGTACTACAACAGATTCCCACTTGCCGAACACAACGCTAGTCGCGTGAAGGTAAACGCGAACCGACTCCTATTTCGTGTTTATACAACTGAATGCACTTGAATGTAATGTGCCAGAAACATAAACTCACGCGCAGACTATGCTGCCATCTTTTATTGAATGAGTGTTAGTACCGTAGTCGACGGAGCACGGCTAACTCAGTCGGTAACACCTTTAACAAATGCAGGATTTGAAGTCATCGCAGCTGTCCTCACGAAGATTTCTACTTAAAATGTTTACATGCACTTTGATTAGTCGCGATTTTCGAGGTAACAACAAGTTTCTCTTTGATGTCAGGTTACTCATTAATGCGAAGTTATCCCTGTGCTTTATTAAGCACCACACCACACAGATGTTTGGGAAGTGGATGTATAGCTCCACGCATTCTTAACCATGGCACTAGGTGGAGGTAAAAGGCGAGTTTCACACTCTGGACGACTTTACCCCCTATGAAAGAGTTCTGGTATAAATTGAACAGGAGGCTGGGTGGACCTTAGCACTGGTCTGGATTCTGAATAAGAGTAAACACTGCATGTAAAACATTTTAAGCAGTTTCTCTCTTCACTGAAGTACTGCGTCAGTGACAACAGAAGGAAATATATCACCAGTAAGACCTAGGTATAGGTGGGAGGATAATAGTAAAATAGATCTCAGAGACATAGCATAGGGTGGTATGGACTGGACTAAGCTGGCTCAGGATAGGGACCAATAGAGGGCTCTTGCGAAAACAGTACTGGACCTTGAGTTTCATAAAATGTATGGAAACTCTTCAGTAGCTGAGCAGCTCATAGCTTCTCAAGGACTGAGCTCCATGCAGTTACTTACTTGATCAGTGTAAACTAAATCATCAAAGGCTTGTTAATATTTATAAATACTGAAGATAATTTAGGTCAGAAAGATTTGAATGAAAATTTGTTCTTCATATACATCTATACTTAATTTCATAACTTGTGAAGAGTCTTCTGAAATAAGCAGTCCAGAGGAGTAAGCCAAGCATGAGGGCTGTACTTACTGCTTCAGGCTGGCCTCTTGCTTGGATTACTCTTCCACCCTATGAATGGAGGAAATTATGTTCCCATGAAACATCAGATAACTTTATCAGGCAACATGGTGTTATATCCCAGAGGATAAACTCTTCAGCAAACACTTCCATTTGTTGAAGTATTATGTTTATCTTTAGTGAAGTAATTTTCAGTGTTTTCTGTGAATTAATCAGATTGCACATCTAGTTTAATATATTTTGATATATCTGTTCATGTAAAGGAAAGTGTATATTTATATAAAAACAGGGTTCGTTTTCCAAAAAGGATTTATTAAATTCTTTTGTCAAACACGAAACAGCTGGAATATTGAAGACTGCTAACACAAAATGAAGGTACAAGCAAATGACAGTGCTCAGAATAACATGTTTAATATTTTTATTGAAATGGTAATCAATGTGTACAATACTGATCATTTTGGATACCAGTTCCATGTCTCTGAATGTTCATACTTCCAGTCTAAAAAAGTAATACTTAACAAGTTCAACAGATGCTATCAAAACCAACCAATACAAATACAGTGGAACCTCGCTTAACGAGCACCTCTCATAACAAGTAATTCGCATAACGAAACAAACTGTAAAAAAATGACTCGCTTAACGAGCAACGTTTCGCATAACGAGTGACGAGAGGGGAAGTCCCGGATTGTGCGCTTGCTACATCAGTTTGTGTTTAGCACTCGTTCCGCTAGCATCTTAGTGTCGCTTGTGATCACACATTTTTCCAAGCTTGTGTTCAGATATATTATTTGTGATTTTTTGTGCAAAGTTTAATAACACTTGCAAAAAATGTCCCCGAAAAAAAGCCGCAAAAAGACAGCCGTAAGAGAATAAAAATAACCGTAGAAATGAAACGTAAAATCATTGAAAGCGAGAACGAGGTGTGAGCGTGGCTGATCTAGCATGCACATACAATCGGTCTACATCAACGATTTGCACTATCCTCAAAAACAAGGACAAGATTAAGGAGAGAGATGCTTCAAAGGGAGTGACAAGAATATCTACGCAACGGTTACGTATTCTCAACGATGTTGAAAGGTTGCTCCTCATATGGATAAATGAAATCGCATTCCAGGTTGGTTCATTCCGCATAGAAGAAAAGATGAAGATGATTCACGCTCCTTAACAATGTATATATAATTTTCTTTGAATAAACGTTATACATAACATTTTTTTACTATTTTTTCAGCATGGAACACATTATCATATTTTACATTAATTTATATGGGAAAAACTGTTTAGCTTAACAAGTATTTCGCATTACGAGTAAGATTCTCGAACAAATTATGCTCGTTAAGCGAGGTTCCACTGTACCTTATTACTGCATTTGTTATTCTTGAAGTTCAAAAAACAACTATCTGCTTTGTTTATTATATGAACACTGACAGAAAAAAACCTTGTTATGAACTGATGGAAATCCACTTTTAAAGCATCTAATTTTAAAATATACATCGTAAATTTCAAATCTGTAATCTAGACATGGGAATTTACTCAATTTATTTCTCTTCATTTATTATAGAGGAAATAATTAGAGTTCACATTCTTGTCCTACTTGCCTAACATGTCTGAGGCAAAATAAAAAAATTTCCTGCAAACAATGACATAATTCATATCAGTATTTTGACGATTTCTTAAGCAGATGTTATGTGACAGCGGTCACACATTTACGTCCAAAGAGGCCTTGTAACAGACTACTTCAGAAACCTGTAAAATGGATAAAAATATGTTTCTTGTTCCTTCTCATCTGGCATAAGCTTAATGTTATCCTTCTTTATTAAAAATAAGATACTATGAATATATTCACATATAAAAAATTCAAGTCAAGGTATATATTATAATAATAAGGAACAGATTCATCACACAACTGCAGATAGAATATAAATTAAGACACAAACCTGACATTCTTAATACAACTTCTTTATTAAAACCATCACAACACAACTATATCGAGGTCAGTGCCTAGTTTTGGCTCTGCTACATGTTTCGGCTATTAGTAGCCATCATCAGGCAAATACACGGCTAACATATATACACCACTGAACTGCAGTACTAGTAAAATTGGATACAATAATAAATAACGGACAAAGCTCCAAATTTACTCTACATATATTGGACACCACACATGAATATAGTACGATAGACAAAACATTAGAAGTTCTATATATCGGCAAGAAAGGCTGAACTTTGGATACATATGAAAGATTCCACATTTATGAAATCAGCAAACTAAATTTGCGACTGAATGATAATTTTACCGAAATGTTTAACCCTATATATGATGTAATCACTGATACATACAAAACATAATATACAGTCATACCCCCTTCCCCTCCTACCACCACTTCTGCATACACCTTATCTCTACCTACCCCCTCCCTCCCTTGCATTGACTTTAATCTTACATCACCAAATCAGTCGTTGTTTACATTCCCTACAGAACGGACAGTACTTTGTAAGATGAGGCACCGACTAAACAGTAAGTAATAATACACTATATCTTCAATACCAAAATCAATAGTTAATTATAACAAAATTTAATACTATTACTTTCATATCATTTTCAGATTAACATTAATATTGCTACATCTACATCACGAGCCTCCAATAACAGTTTTTATATATACACACAAAATAGAGAATACTCCAATTTGTCCGTGGGAACACAATATAATTACAAAAACCAACGACTGACTCAATGATGTAAAGCATCAATCAATCAATCCCCTAAAGGTAATTTTAAAAAGTTTCTCAAACAATTAGACATGATTCTGCATAAACTCTATAATAAGAGTTATAATATTATAATATGTGGTGATGTAAATATAAATTACCTACTAGAAAATCGTGAAAAGAGTCAACTCAATACCTTATTACAATTATATAATTTATCCAGTATAATTAATTTTCCTACTAGAATTGCACTAAATTCTTCGACGGCCATTGACAACTTTTTTATTGATATTTCTATTATTGGTAAATATGAATTATATCCTCTTATTAATGGTCTCTCTGACCATGATGCTCAGGTACTAGTAATAAATAATATATTGAAACCGATAAAGGATTGCCATACCCTTTTTACAAGAAGTATAAATGGACTTAATATAGCTAATTTTCAATTAAATTTAAGCCATGAATCATGGGAGTTGGTTTTTGATGAAACTGATGTTAATAAATCTTTCAACATCTTTTTAAATATATTTTTAAGAAATTACTACTCTAGTTTCCCACTTATACAAACAAGAAAAAAAAGGAATCAAAATTCTTGGATTACACCTGGTATCATAACATCTTGCAAACATAAAAGAGAATTATATATAAAATTACAGCATAATAACAATCCCACTGCAACATTATATTACAAAAAATATTCCAAAATTTTGGCGGCTGTCATAAAAAAAGCCAAACGTATGGATTATGATAAACTGATTCTAAATTCATGCAATAAAATTAAAACGACATGGAATATTATAAATACTGAATCTGGAAGAATGAAAAAGAGAAATGAAACGCTGGCTCTTAATATAAATGGGATGAAGATTACTGATCAGCAAACCATCGCTGATACCTTCAATGAGCATTTTGCTACGATTGCTGACAAAATTAGAAAATATGTAGATAATTCTCAATTAAATAGATTTAATAATGATGGGGGAAATCATATACATTTTATTAAGCAGGCGTTTGATAACACATACCCTAATATGGGAAATAAAGTCTCGACAGTAAAAGAAATTGAGCAAATTATCAAATCTTTAAAATTAAAAAATTCATTTGGATATGATGAAATATCTACAAAAATTCTGAAACTCAGTGCCCCTTTTATAAGTTCACCAATAAACTACATATGTAATAAAATGCTATCTCAAGGTGTTTTCCCTGATAGATTAAAATATGCAACAGTAATTCCTCTACACAAGAAAGGGGACTGTAGTGATATGTCAAACTATAGACCTATATCTCTCCTAACTTCATTTTCAAAGATTTTTGAAACAATTATGCACATAAGAATTTTAAATCATCTAACTAAATATAATATACTAAGTAACAGTCAATATGGATTCAGAAAGGGTTTGAAAACAGAAGATGCGATCTATAAAGTTACCTCTGAAATTTTAAATGCTATGAATAATAAATTATATGTGGGAGGGATCCTCTGTGATCTAGAAAAGGCCTTTGACTGTGTAAATCATAAGATTTTGTTGTCCAAATTGAAATTTTACGGAATAAATGGCATAAACTATACACTATATCAATCCTACCTGGAGAATAGGTATATTAGAACACTCGTTCACAAAGACAGTAACAACTTTGTCTCTGAATGGAAGACAATAAAAAACGGTGTCCCACAGGGGAGTGTACTAGGACCTTTGCTTTTTCTTATATATATAAACGATTTACCCAATGTAATAAATAAAACTTCTTTACCTGTACTCTTTGCAGACGACACGAGTATCTTATTCGTTCAGCCCAATATAACCGATCTTAATAATGTTATGCAAAATACTTTTGAAATTTTAAACAAATGGTTCATAACAAATTACTTATCCCTTAATTTTAATAAAACACACTTTATTCAATTTACAGCTAAGAAAATTCTAACTTCAAATATGAAGATAGGGATAGGCAATAAACTTGTCACGAGTACTCCCTGTACTAAATTTCTTGGAATATCAATTAATGAAAATTTGTCATGGGACAATCATATAGAAATACTAATAAAAAAGTTGAGCATGGCTGGTTATATAATCAGAAGTGCTAAAACTTATATGTCTACATCATCACTAATAATAATTTATCATGCTTTTTTTCATTCTTTGATGACTTATGGAATTATATTTTGGGGCAACTCACCACAGAGTAAAAAAATTTTCTACCTACAAAAAAGGGTAATTCGAATCATAGAAGGATATGGGAATAGGGTTTCTTGTAGAGACTCATTTAAAAAACTTCATATCTTGCCTTTGAAATCTCAATATTTATTGTCCCTGCTTATTTTTGTAGCCAAAAATAAAGATCTTTTTACAACAAATATTGAAAGTCACAGTGTGATAACTAGGCATGGTAATAATTTGTATATTCCACAGGTTAATCTAGCCATCTATCAGAAAGGAACTTATTATTCTGGAATAAAATTTTACAATAAATTACCTTCCAATATTAAGAATGTTAGTGACAATTTAAAAATTTTTAAATCTACTCTAAAAAGATATTTACATATGAATACATTTTATACATTAGACGAGTTTCTTGAACATGAATCTTGATCATTAATTGACTGTCATTTTACGCTTAATTTACTATGTATATATTACCTGTATTACCTATTCTACTCTGTTAAGATTATGTTAATATTTATTGTACATATATCAATTGATACTTTATATTTATAGTTTTGGATATTTTAATATTCTTTTTTTATATATATATATATGATTGGTTTTATTGACTTATTTATATTTGTTTGATATTTATTGATCTTTATAACCTATAACTACTGATATTCTTACAATTTTTATTCTGTTGTGTCCACTGTGTATGTGCCTATTTGATGATATTAATCAGTTTTCCCGTATGTTTTGTGGTGTGGTATGTATTTGAGAATATCATGACAAATTCTGTATCCTTATTTTGGATTTTGAATGAAATAAAATAATAATAAACATAATACAATTAGGATAACAACTGATGTTCCTGATTTTGTTACAGATTGTAGGTAATAGCACTTTATTGTTGCATGTGACGGTTTATGTTCATGTATTCATGTTTTATTAATATTTATATATGGCTAACTGTTATGACATTGCACAATTGTTATGCAGTATGTAATTACGCTTACTCATGTTGACTTCTTCTATATCCATGTTCATGTATTCATGTATTCATGTTTTTGTAAATATTTATATATGGCTACTGTTATGACATTGCACAAATGTGATGCAGTATGTAATTATGCTTACTCATGTTGACTACTTCTATATCCGTGGTGTTTTGAAAAAACCATGTAAGGATTTATGGAATGCTGAATAAATGTAAATGTAAATGTAAAGAATTTTATTCTTGTTTTATACTACAACTTTTGTTTTATATAGTCTAATTCATTGTATTTTTACATCAAGTATTTTATATAATTAATATTATTGCATCCAATTTTATTAGTACTGCAGTTCAGTGGTGTATATATGTTAACTGTGTATTTGCCTGATGATGGCTATTAATAGCCGAAACATGTAGCAGAGCCAAAATTAGGCACTGACCTCAATATAGTTGTGTTGTGACGGTTCTAATGAAGAAGTTGTATATTATAACACAATAGGATGCATGAAATGAACATTTTTAAAACACTTCTGGCAAAGGACACACCCAAACAACATGACCAACTGCTGAAGATGTCAGACTAACATCCTCAGCAATCCTTGCCAAATGGAGATTGTACTTCACAAAATAACATTTTCATTTGGGTATGCATAAAAATACATAAAAAGACTACAAACTTGTTATTGTGAGAATTAAATGTATGCCAAATGGTGCATGAAAAATAATCAGTTTCTTAAAATTATGACATTTGGGTCAGACCTGGGTTTTATGAAATAAAAATGGACCACACTATCTTAGCACTCTCTTTTCTAGGTTTCTTATCAATGAAGTAACATCTATTTCTTTCTATGATGTTTCACTCCTCGCTCCATTTTTTCTTGTCACCTGAAGACAACTTCCTAAATTAATTCAAATGTCCTCATTTTGCTCTTCAATTTTTCCATCAGTGGCCATATTTCAACCTCAGTATAAACAGAATACAATTCTGTAAGCCCCATATTTTCTGAGCATCATAAGAAGTTCAGATGCACTACTGATTTCTGTCCACAGTGCAACTGCAACTCTGCCACAGACTGAGTGAACTTAACAGCATTCTGTAGGAATGCAAATGAACCCCCCAAAATACTGCACAGATAATCAGGGGTATACTCCACTTGTTCATACTGCAAACAAATCTAATTCTTTCGTGCAAACTTCCTCAGTTTGTAATTAGCTTGTGTATGCTGCAAGAACAGTTCTGAGGTAACTTGGTGAGTATGCCAAAAATATTATGAAATGGTTCATTCTGTTGAGACATTGCATTATTGAGGTTATACCATTAGGAAGACCTAGGTGCTGATGGGAGAATAATAATAAAATGACGGGAAGTGTGTGGAATGGATTCATCTGGCTCCAGATAGGGATCAGTGGTAGGCTCTTGTGAGCATGACAACAAACCTTCACGTTCCATAAAATGTCGGGAATTTCTTGAGGAGCTGACCAACTATTAGCTTCTTAAAGGGCTTAGCTCAAAGAATTTAGACTTACTATGTTTGTGTTTAGGTCGAGGCCTGCCTCAAAAAAATTTGTCTTTGCATTCCTTGTGTTTTTGTTCAAATCTTCTGCATCCACCCTCTCAATTCCCCCACCTTTATGAACGTAACACAGCGATACAAATGAACAAGGACTGAAGTACCAAGAATAATGTAATATACCTATTTAAGGAATTGCCTACACAAGAACATCCCGATCTGTGCACAGATCATGCACTTATTTTTGGAATGAACATTTGGAAAACAAAGTGTGATCTATACATGAATAAATATAGCAATCGTGTGAGAGATTTGAGGTTCTTGTGGTAGTGAATATGAAGTTTATTGTGTTCCACAACGTGATGCCATATATGTAGTCTAAGAGACCTTTACCAGCATTTCAGAGGAATGTACTGCTTCCAGTTTCAGGGGGGGTGAACGTTGCAGGTTCCTCCAAAACATTCGTACAATTCTACCAGAAGACAGTAATCTTCACAGTACTCATAACTGACAAAAAAATTAAAGGATTTCTGCGACTCACAGAGAGTACCAGCAACTGTAGCACTGTATCCAATTTAAAGTGACCCTCACTTTATCGTGCATACTTCTTCATATCTTCATACATTTTTATTCAAAATCATTACATGTATTTTTTTCAATTCATTTTAATGACTCTCTTATTACTTTTCATCAGAACACTTTTTAAGTGTTCAATACTTTTAAAATGATTCATTATGCCTATATGATACTGCCTGAGAAACAACTGATCATTAATGACAGTCATTATATTGCTTCAAAATAGAAACTGTAGAATCTGTTTCACTTTTTATTTGAATGATAAGCAACTTGTACACAGTGACCATTCACCTGTAATTCTTGTTTTTAATATTCAGCTCATGTTTACGTCATGGTACCAAATACTGGATTGTGTCGGCATATGCTGGGCCCATACTCCTCATACGCTGCTTTTGTGTGGCAGACCTGGTAAAATTCAGGCTGAAAAATACAAACAAAAAATTATGGTCTTATTACAAAGACTACACTCATGGATTTATTTTTTGCTAGAATCATGAGCGCCATCATCACTGTGACTGTACTTTCAGGTATGACTTTTAACCAATCTGGGCTCTGTAAGATCTGAGGTTTTCACGGTGGAGACTATGAAGAATGCCGTTTTCTGGGATGTGGTGCCGTGTGGATACTGCATAAACTGACGTTTCAGAGGAATGTATCACCTCAACTACAGCCACCGGCTCATGTTAGTTCCTCGCTCACGGATTTTTTACTTTTTCTTCTACCCTGAAGATGGAGGTGATACATTTGTCTGAAACATCGGCTTATACAATATCTACATGGCGGCACAACCCAGAAGATGGCATTCTTCAATCTGGACTCTGTTTCCCTGAGAGATTAATTCCATTTTACACACAGTGACATGACAATCATCAGGTAGAAGATGATGGGACATGGAAACCAAATTTGGTTAGGTCTGGCATACAAAACAAACCTACCTTGGATACGGCCAGTCTAAAACCCAAGATCTTCTGAATGTAACCTTGTACAAATGCCACCACAAAGTGTCTGTGAACTAAGGTCACATTACCAACAGAGAACCTCAATCAATTCTGTAGAAACATTTGCTCATATACAACTGACTATCCAGTGGTTTAATTACTTAACCGAGAAATTAACAAACCTCTTTGGATCTAAGGTTCTCAAAGGACCAATTACACTACATACAGTATGCTGGGTTGTGATACCGTATTTTTCGGAAAGAACTTGCTGTCTGCTTCTGCCAGTCTCTTGCATGGCCCACTCTTCGATCCTGAAGACAGGGGTAATATGTCCCTCCAATCAAAACATCGGGCTCTGTTCAAACTACATGGAGTTCCTGCTCTGGAGACCAAACTATACAAATTAACTAATTAAACCATTTGGCTTGACGGCTTTTGGTACAGGACATTCCCATGTCTGGGATTATTTCTGGAATAAATAAAACCTAATGCTATACTCAGAAGGGGGGCACATGGTAGAATAGTGGGCTGAGGCACTATGCTACAGGCCGGAAGGTTCGAGTCCCAATGAGGGGGATTTTTTTCAATTGACCTAATCCTTCCAGCCACACTATGGTCCTGGGTTCGACTCAGCCTCTAACAGAAAGGAGAACTATGAATCTTCCTGGGGGTAAACTGTGACTGGCGTGTAAGGCTGACAACCTCACTACCATCTGTGAACCTACAGTCTAGAGAAAATGTGGAAGCCTCGACGTCTCACAACCCTACGGGCTTTCTTGGCCTGTTACATGGATAGTCTTACCTTTTACCTTATTATACTCAGAAGAAGAAATAGATTCATATTCTATACTCAACCCATCTAAGAGTTATATGGAAATGTTCTACAAGCCAAAGGTCAAGCCATTGTGGCTCAGATTATTTCTAGATGGATATAAATGTAAACTTGCATAAAGTCGTCTTACCGTGGAGGCAAACATGCTCCCTCCAAACCACACAGCATATCGTTGCATGTGATGAGAGATAACTTGAACATCTATAGGCTTTGGCTGCAACAGAAAAGGGTGATGTTTCAAAACCAGAAGACACACAACAGCTCATGGAACTTCTACAGTGAGCCACAGAGGACCACGGAAATGAAATAACAAAGTCTCAACAGTGACTGTCAACAAATCACACTATCAAATCAAACAAAACCTATAAAACTATAATTAAAATTAATACAGCTTCCCACTGAGGGATGAACCTTTAATATGTGCAAAGAAATAACGGTAAAACCTGAAATCAGTATTTATGTGTGTTACCTTGATTCTACCACCACTCAAAGTCTCACTAAGACGCAGACGTGCATCTACAGTCCTTTTGATATCTCTCTGTAGGCGACGTCCAAAGTCCCTGAACATTGTAGATCCACCAGACAGTACAATATTGTTGTACAGGGGCCTCCTAACATCAATGGGACAATTCTGAATCACCGTGTCCACAATCTCTGAGAGAGGAGTAGTGAAATCTGGATTTGAGAACTGAAAAATAATTCAGTCAACATACACCAAATAACAGGGGAATTATCTGAACAAGGTCTAGCATTCTTATGGCTTAACTGCCATAAAATTTCCTCCCATAATGCTACATATCACATTAATCGGGTTAATACACTCTCATGCAAAAGAGTACTTTGAGGCAGTGAAACTGATACTGTGGCATGTGACAACAGTAAGATCAAGCAAGCCTCTAATTATAAGGACACAATGGAGGGCATTTTTAATCACTTCACTCCACTTTACTTATTTTAATTATTTATTTACACACCTCTGGGTGAAAGAAAATTTCTGGTCCCAAAAATCGCTCATAACCAACGTCCACTACAAATGGTGTCTTGGTGACGGAGTTAATACCCTCATATTTCTTCATCCACTTGGAAGAATCAGAATCATACTTTGCAAACTCTTTTGCAATATCTGGACATATGTAACAAAATCTTTCTTTGATAGCTTTGGCTGTTTCCAGGGATTGTTCTGGGGGAATACCAATCTCACGTTCTCTTAGAAGTGACTGGATGAAATAGGTTATGTTGCGGCCCGCTATGGGAATATGCTTGATGCAACTGCCAATCACATAACCTTCAGCCTGAAAATAAAATATACATTCTGAGTGTCTGGGTTCCTCTGCTCATGCAATGTGAGGTCTGGGCATCAAATACCGACAAGCAAACACTTATGAATCTGGTGTACAATGGCTCAGCTACCACAACTAATGCTGGAACAATGGATTTTCAAAGAGAAAATAAAAGCAAATTCCAAGCAATCGATATGAGATACTATACACACTGTAACCGTACGCACCCTTCACGGAGGTATCTTATCTGTTTATGCTTAGCGATTGGGTTTGGCTGTGGCAGTGAGATGCCCCGGAGGGTTCATGGTCCTCTGAACTGTCCTTTTGTTGCGAGGGACTGAAGGGAGGTTGGTGAGTCCATTGCATTCAAAGAGGGAGTAGGTATACCTTCTTTCGTCTGTGCCTGTGGGGGTGGAGGACCTGTGGATCGAAGCTTCGAGAAACGTCTAGAAGGTGTGCAGACCGGAAGGGGTCCGTGTATTTGGTCATGAAAACCTCCCAGTGGAAAGTTCGAGATGGCTAAGAACGTGGTTTCTGGAAGCAGCAGCGGGGGTAAGGAGGCAGTCAGTGAGTGGAAGCCGAGGGGTCAGGGAGTAGAGGCCAGGGAGTGAGGGTGTTCATGTGGAACCTGTGCTAGGGGGTTAACCGATCGAGACCGCATCCAAAAAAAAAA